TCAAGAACTGTTGATGGTCGTCTACTATCAGCTCGGTGTGGCGCTAACCACGACTGTGCATCGAACAGGTGTAGTGGTAGGTCGTTTGCCTGATCCTGAAATCCATTATGAACCCTTGTATCCGTCCGCTACACAGGGGGGAGATGTGTCTCGTGTCAAGATGGCCGTGGGGTTGGGTTGCCACCAGGAAGTGAGTACCAGCATCTCCGCTAATATTGTTCGAGGTACACGGACAACTAACGGAGTCCGGCTGGCAACTGATAGGTTCTTGCCCAGGCGTTGCAGACTCGGATGCGTGCTGTAGTAGTCAATGCACGCGTGAGTTCGTCGGTCGTCTTGCACCCATATTAGATTGTTGAAACCTTATTTTTCTTTCTGCTTTCCTTCAGTGGATTCCACAGCTACAGGTGGATTTCGATGTATCTCTAATATCCCTCCTTAGGGGAATCGTGGGAGGTGTCATCACCTCTTGATTGCACGGAGATGCATGGCATTTTTCTTGTCGAGTCCTTGATTATTTGCCGGTGTGATAAGTAGATATGATACCGTATCGACTACGGGTTTGCCGGCCTATTTGTAGAAATAATCCGTGTTTGTCTGTAACAGCTGTAACAGCCAAAAGGCCAACAGGTCGTAAAATTATAATGACTCTTTAGCGAGTGGAGTAATTTCCGGACGAGGTCTGAAGCCTGCTTCAGCCATCGGTTTCGTGAAGCAGAAGAAAGGGGTGTAATGTTCAATACAGGACATGGGCCTGAGCGGTGCGGTGAAGTTGTTTCGTTGAGTGGTGCACGATCTAACAGCCCAGTACTAGTACTACTGGTAGTGACCGGTTGACCCCCGATCGTGACTCCGATTAGATCCCATCATCATCATCGTCATAAACTCATCTGCGCCCTTCTTCTTCCAGAGACTACAGGACCTGAATTATAATGAAGTTGGACTTGCTGGAGTTCCAAAGACAATAAATGAGCCGCTAGAGCAGTGGAACTAAGATCGAAATGAAGTTAGGTCTTTTTTTCCGAGCCAGTAACTCAAAGGAACTTCAAGATAAATATTCGTCTTTAAACATCGAAGACGCTCTTACGGAGACTGTGCCTTTCTAGGATTGGCATTGAACATTCTGATGACTCGGCATTTGGAGCACACGACCAAAAAATGAGTTCTTGCTGTGGCCTGTTGGCAGTGGCACAAGAGTAGGGTAGGCCCATGTACGTAAGGCTATAAAGAACATGACGCGCTGTATCATTAATTCATTTCCCACGTTCCGCATCTTGCTCATCGACCACGACGACGATGAGGACGTCTTAAACGATGTCCTCAAAGTTATTGTTCAATTGAGCTACATCTAGGCGAGCGCGGGCTCTCTGGGTCTTTTCTCTTTATCCTCGTTCACCGCCTCTAACCCCTGCCTCGTGTAAACCGCCCCCAATCGTTACATTAACCGACGCAGTGTTCAAACAGCCATAAGACAACGTGTTTCCTCATTCTCTTGTTCGATTACACTTCAACGGCATCATATTAGACCTTGTTTCCAAATGACAGCAATTCCTATGTCTTCGCCGCGAGGCCCAGGCATGTATCAGCTCTATATGTACGCGAATTCGTGATTATCCGTTGGTCTATCCTCTTCTTGCCCTCTATCTACCCTCGCTTCGCCGTTGAAGCCTCATTATCCTCCATTGCCCTGATATCTGAATACAGTGCTTTAGAGCTCACCGCTTCGTTGATATCTAGGAATCACCTCCGGCCCATACGCATGTCTGAGCTCTCTGCCACGGGTACAACAGGAACACCCATCCCTAGGCCGACTCACAGACTGCGGAAGCCCCAAACAGCAGGCGGACGACACGCGGGATACCCAGCTATAGGCTCTGTACACTGGCTATTCCGAACCAACATCCCCCAACGAAGATCTTCGTATTACCAGCCTGACGTCCGGAAGAGAAATTTCTTTGGGATGGGAGATATTATTGGGGTTCTGACGAATGTGAGTTCTTCTAGCTATTCCCTCCGACTAGGTCGACTAAAGGGTTCTGTTCCGCTACATCCGATACATAATACTGCACGCCCTCCCGCCAACGCACTACCCATCGCTTTCTTTGCACCCAGCCTGCTGAAACAGTCCGCTCTCTAACAGAATCCAAACGTCTGCTCGAGGAAGCCCGTCGCGAAATCAATGAGACTCGGGAACGCGCCCAATTACGCCCCAAACACACGTTTTCCCGACTCCCCGGATTCTTCGCTCGCGATGCCGAACTGCGGGCTATTGAGAGGGCTTTGGAGGGCGACCCGGCATTCACGGTGCTATTCGGTGCGAGTTCGGTGGGGAAGGTACGCCGAGTTCTGCACCTTTTTGTGTCTCTGGCATTCGCGTGCTCAGTCTCCGTATACAGACAGCCCTACTCCGACAAGTCCTCACCGACGATAAGTACCACGTTCTCCATTTTGACCTGCGGATATCGGGCTTTGCGGACCTGGCGAGTCTGTACATGAGTCTGAGTGAACAGATGGAACAATATTTTGAGGGGATCGCGAGGCAGATGGAGGGCTATGAGGAGTTCGAAAAGGAATCGTGGAGTTTTAAGGTAAGTTCTGTCCTTTTTGTTTTCGTCCAAATGGCTGATGGTAGAAACAGCACGATAGGCTCAACGTTGAGCGGAGGTTACAAGAATCTCCTCCCGATAGCGGGATACAGAAGGTGAAAACGAGTGATATCGCGAGATTGATGGAGTTATTCCAGGTGAGCTCGTGCCTTTCGTTCTTGTGTCTGGCTTGTTCTAACCCTCATTCAGAGCTCCCTCCTCAAGTACTGGAGGTTTGACCCCTTTGCCAATAATGAAGACGAGAAGGGAAAGCGAGGGCATAAAGAAGAATTCAGCAGTTCTAGTGCGACGACTGATCGCACGCATGTCAATCCTAACGGTAACCACCAACAATCGAACGATCACGGACAAGGCCAGGGAAAGAAGAAATGGAAGTTGCGGAACTTGTTGAGAGACCGGAATAAGGAGAAGAAGCGGACGGATGAAAATGCTCAGCATGGACACGAAGTAGAGGACCAACAGGAGCCGCGGCAAGAGGAGAGGGAGAGGCCGGCGAAAAAGATGCCCGTAAGCCTGATGTCCTCGCATTCGAGCTGAAACTCACGGGCGACTTTAACAGGTCATATTCTTCGACGAGGCTCACAAACTGTAAGTCTTTGGATTGCCAGTTTCTACTCTGCAGTGCTCACCTCAAATATCTAGACCCGCCCTCATTCAGTCTTCGGAGGCGATGAATTGCTTGTTGTCTACTTTCCTCGTCTTGACGAAGCAAGATAGACTTTGTCACGTCATACACGCTACAAGTGATCCATTCTATCATACGTGGTTGAGACAGTTAAACGTTATGCAGCACTGCAAGGTGGGCTCTCTTTTCCTATCGCACTTCCATAATACTGATCTTGGCCTCTGGAATAGATCATTACCATTGGCGACTGCTCGAAAACCGAGACTCGGAACTTTTTCCGTGAAAAGCTCCTACCTGATGTCCCGGAGCATTTGAGGGGCGGACTTGAGTTTGAGAGGTTGTGGGAGACGTTTGGGGGCAAGTTGGTACATTGGCAGGACTTCCTCGGGGATTACGGTGAGATCTCTTCTCTTCGGCCCAGCTATTTTTTGACTGATCTTGCGTGCCGTAGTGAACTCCAATGGGATGCTGGACCCCAAGTCGAGCTCGCATTTCCTACAGGCGCACGCGTTGTTGAATCTACATATCATACACTCCTCGCAGGCGCCGCACGCCACCGGATCTGACTCTCAAAATCAAAACCAAGATGGTCAAGCCCCTCCACCTGCACCTACGGGGTTCCGGATTTACTCGCCCATCTCGCACCCTTATCCGCTCCCCTCGCAACAAGCACAAGGAAATGTTGAGCCGGAAGCGCCCAGCACTGATTTCACGGCGATTCAGCTCCTGAAGGTGATGGCGAGGATCACGCAGCCTGGTGTTGAATGGTTGCCGTATTTCATGCTTTGCAGGGAGTTTGGGGTGAGGGCTGTGGATGGTATGGTTAAAGGAAGAGTTTTGGAGCTGAGGTGGACCGAAGCCGTTGCTTCTGAAACCAAGGAGAACGATGAGAGGGAGGGAGAGGAAGATAGGATTCCGGAGGTCATTCCTCGTGATGGTGGAGGTGGATTCGATTCGAGACCAGGAAGTGTGCCGGGGTACATGCAAGACCCGTCCAGCCCGACCACGATGTTGAACACTGACGAGTTGTTCGCGATAAGAGGCCCGCCGCCTCCGCCGCCACCCGCGGGAGGGCCGACTAATGATAGCGAGGAAGAAATGGTGATGGTACCTGTTTCGGAGACAGAGGCTATGGACATACCCCCACCCCGACAACGACCACCGCCGCCCCCGAGGTATGCCTCGCAGGTACCACAACCCCAGCCGACGAGAAGGAGGAGGTCAACGAGGTACCAGTCGAGGTATACGACGTATACCACAAGGACAAACGACATGTACCCGTTCCCTGTAGAGGTGATTGGCCCAAAGGTTGTGCCGATCACGCCTGTTATGCGGTACGCGATGAGGGAGGTTGTGAAGGAGTATCAGGAGGACGATCCTGAAGAATTCGAGGGCGATGAAGAAGGACTGGGACTTGAAGGTGATGAGTTTGATATTGGATTCGGGTCGAGAAGACCTAGCAGGAGCAGGAGGGGAACAGGGACAGGGACGGAGTCGGAGTACGCTAGTCTCTCGGATGTTGACGAGTATTGATTGGGTTACACTAATCTCGGTCTGATGGCTGCTAATCTACCATTTATGTTTCTTCCGTGCCATGGATGATCACCCTGCTTATATTTGACTTCTTTTGTGTCTGGAGTTACCTCTTATACACGTCTGCATCTTTTGTACTCGATATCTGCTAGTTCATACTGTATTTTTATATGGAGGTCACGCACGGTAAGGACTTGTTGGTAGTTATATATGCCTTTGTAAGATTGCTAGTCATAAGCAGCATGGCGCAGTGGTAGCGCGCGGGGCCCATATCAAGTATTGGTCTTTGGTACCCCGAGGTCACTTGATCGAAACAAGTTGCTGCTATGTGTGCGATCAACGTCGACTTTTTCTAGGAGGCTCGGAGGGACTGGAACAACACAATGAGTGAAGCAAGCAACAATCAAACACCGTCGAAACTTTGAACAAACGTCATCTCGCTCCTTTCGTGACCGTCACCCTTCTTGCCAGATGATCGATGAGCGCTGAGCGCTGTGGCCAAGGTCAACACTACGACCCTCCCTCGTATGTACATGAAGAATAGCAGTTTAATCTTGAATCCCAGTCTTGGTTCCAATCCTACAGGACGAAATGACACATCTATTGCCGACTAGTAAGACTACAAGAGTTCCCTAGTGAAGAAACCATTCGAGTCCCACCGCCTTTTGAGCCCTCTCAACTTTTCAAGTCGTTCTTTTCCTCTGTAGCAAATCTCGATGGAATCGAGTCCAATCCTGATATATCGAGAAGTGACACTGTCCTTCCTGGTGGATAGCAGACGACCCTCGCGCGAGGGTCGTTGCAGCATTCAAAAGCAGAGATTTGTACGAATCTATACGGTCATGACAGAGCTTTCATGATTTTTGCGAGTAGGAATGTCCGATGATGGTAGAAAGAGGGAGAGATAATAAATAAGCGCCCGATACACAAGCACAACTGTACTAGAGCGCTTGTTTGGGTTCTCCCACTACCACCACCACTCAATCGAGATGACCCTTCACCTTTCGATTTATCGCCTCTCATGAATGACCCAGGCCTAGACGAACCTATCCAAGCCACAGCCAATGAAATCAGCCACGGTCTGGAGAATGGAGGTGACCACCAAGCAGTCAAACGACGGAGGAAGTCGACTCAAGAAGAAGCCCAGGGAGAACATGTAGGAGAGAGGGAATCCTTGGACTCCTTGCGTCCTACGTACGTCTCGAATGTTCGATCAAAGCTAAGTGTTGACTTCTTTGTTGCAGGCGGTGGTGGTTTGTTTCCACGGTGTTTCCTCTGGCTGCGGGCACGTTGGGTCCTCTTGCCAACCTGTTTTCTGTCTGTGCTCTAGTTCAGACGTGGAGAATAGGTGAAAATGGAGAAAGAATAAAGGATCCGGGATGGCTGATCGCAGTGAACACTGTTTCGCTGGCATTTGCCTTGGCTGCGAATCTCTTACTACTCTTCACTTTCGCACGTCGGATTCGCTATCTTGTTGCTCTACCTTTCATTGTGATATTATGGTACGTCTTCTTCAAGACTTCACGCCACGTCTTTCTGATTATATGTTTAGGTATCTCTCGTCTATCACTCTTATCGTTATCCTGGTCCTGGGCCGTCAACTGGCGCGCTCCAGTAGTGCCTCCCATCGCGTTTCTCAAAGCTACTTTTATGGACTCCTTTCAGCGATAATCTATGTCATTATCTCGACTCTTCTGACGATGAACTACGCTTGTGCTCATCCTAGACTCCCACTTCGCGTGTTCAAGCCCACGTTCGAGGTACTCACAATGCCACAACGTACTCTCATGCTTCAGACAACATCTTTTACTCTTTACCTTGCCCTTGGTGCGGGCATTTTTGCACGCGTCGAACACTGGGACTTTGTGGATGCTGTTTATTGGGCGGATTATACCCTGCTGACTATTGGATTAGGATCCGACTTTCCGTTACAAACAGCTACTGGTCGCGGTTTGCTAATTCCGTGGGCTGTGGGTGGAATTATCATCGTCGGCCTCGTCGTTGGTAGCGTTCGGGGACTGGTTCTAGAGCGCGGGAAGAGGAAGGTCGGGAAACGGGCTGTAGCCAGGGCGGTAGCGAAGTGGCGAGATGGACGAAAGGGATCAGCGAACTCCAACTCGTGGTCGAGAGAGGAGTTTGACACGATGAGGGCTATTCAAGAGCGCGCCTCTGTCACGAGAAGGTACACTTCTCTTGGAGTATCAGCTCTGGTCTTTGTCGTGGTGTGGTTATGTGGCGCGCTTGTCTTTTGGTACGCGGAGGTGAGTCCTGTCTTCATCGAACGAAGGCTTGGACGTGATACTCATGTCGATTGAATCACAGGATGCTCAAGGGTGGTCTTACCCAACAGCCCTCTTCTTCACATACACGTCACTTCTCACAATCGGTTACGGTGACTTCATCCCTCAATCCACTTCTGGAAAACCTTTCTTCGTTCTCTGGTCGCTTCTCGCTGTACCTGCCGTAACGATTCTCATCTCTAACATGGGTGATACCGTGGTTAGCTGGGTGCGAAACGGGACGCTTTGGCTTGGACGTTGGACCCTCCTTCCCGAACGGAAGGATAAAGACGGAACAGCGACACGGTTGGGTGGTGACCTTGGGAAACTCGGCGGTGCAATTGAAATGGCTGAAGGTAGTCACGGAACCAAGCAAGACAGTCTAGCAGCCAAAATTGCCAAGGAGATTAGGATTATTTCTGTCGATATCGGGAAGAAACCCCCGAGAAGATACCAGTGGGATGATTGGCAGAGATGGATGGGTCTACTAAGTGGAAGTGGCGCTGCGAATCCCGGAGAGTTCTTGGACGACAACGGACCTCTGTTCAGTGACGCTAGCGAGACGGAGTGGGTGCTCGAGAGGCTCTGTAGAAGGTTAGAGGAGGCTTTAGAGGCGGAACTCGAGGATAGAGGGGCGTCCGCTTAGAGTTAGTATACCGAACTGGACACGAGAGCAACATCCGGCACCTTCTCATCTCCGAGCCGGCTCCTCGATTATTCTCACCATTCCGTGTCAGGTGTGGAAGGAACTCCATATTTATACCTGTTCCATGTTGTACTTGCTCCCCCCTCAATACTACTCATGACCATCACTGCCAAGATGAACGGGAACCATGTCTCGGCTCAGTTGCCTCCAGTGCCCCGCTATATCCCAGCGCAACCTACGAAGGAGCCGTGTGCGTGTACTTGCTATCCTATACGCCCCTTAGAAGGCTTACTATGCACGGCAGTGGACTTCGCTGACCTCCCAATTATTGACCTCGCACAAGCTCGTACAAACCCTACAGCAGCCGCAGAACAAGTTCGCGATGCGATGACAACCCAGGGGTTTCTGTACATTGTCAACCATGGCTTAAGCCCATCCGAGGTAAGCTTCGATGAATAGACCAACCCGACTGATTTCATTCTGGTTGCTCGTGTAACAGATGGAACGCATGTTTGATATAGCGAACATACCGTTTGAACAAGTCCCAGAGGAAGAGAAGAAGAAATTTGATTCGAAGCCCCACGAAACGGGATCCTTTCAGGGATACAAGTTGCGCCAGTATTGGGTACGTGTACAGACGTTGATATCGTGACGACGCAGTGATGTGGATTACTGAAAGTGTACCTCGCCAGCACATTCAAGGAGGAGTGAGAGATCAGATTGAATCCTACAACAGTGCGTTCGCTCTCTAGTGCTATTCATCCTGAAATGTCCACGAACGCGCAATAGTCAACAGAGACGTTACCAGGCGCACTCACCCGGAAGTACTACAGCCATTTATTCCCGAGATTGACGCGTTTGCGAAGCATAACCACTTCGACGTTGCCAACCAGATTCTGCGGCACGTTCCCTGCCTCTCGGCGGTATAAGTTCTACTCATCTAGAGGATAGACTTCTTGCAATGGGTTTGGAACTACCGGATGAAACATTCGTTGACATGCACGACCTCTCAAAGGTTGCGGAGTCGTTTGGTAAGCTTTATTCTTCGTCTTTCCCTCAGCCTATGACGGATCCGTGGTCTCAATCAAGTGAGATTCATGAAATAGTAAGCACGGTCGTATCTTCTTATGAATCTATTACCTAACCGTCTCGTTCAGCTACCCTAGACCGGAAGAAGACGAGGAGAAGACAGACCGCGTGTGGTTTAAAGGACATACAGGTGAGCAAGTATTCTGCGTGGTGCCAGGAATACAGTTTTCTGAACACTCAAACGCGTTTCGTGCGATATAGACTTTGGTTCCATCACACTGCTGTATAGTCAGCCTGTGTCTGCACTTCAGATACTTGGGTCGGATGGAAAATGGAAGTGGGTGAGGCACGTTGAGAATGCGATTGTAAGTGCTGGTAGGCTGTTGTCTCGGTCCCCGGGATGTGAAAATGTCAAATCATACAGATCGTCAATGGTGGTGACGCTCTCGAGTTTCTTTCTGGCGGTTTTTACAAGGCTACGATTCACAGGTGGGTTTTCGTTCCTACTTTTCAACCCACACTTTCCATTGCTTACTTACATGGCCCTTCAGAGTTGTTCAACCCCCACCAGATCAACACAATGTGACCCGCCTTGGTGTGTATTACTTTAATCTCCTCAACGACGATGTCAAACTCGTGCCACTTGCCTCGAGTCCCGTTGTGCAACGAAACGGAATCAAGCGACGATTTGAGGACGAGCACGCGCCGACTATGAAGGAGTGGAGGCTGGGCAGAACTTCGGCGTACGGAAGCACAAAAACGAAATTCAAGGAAGGAGAGGCCCACGGCGAGTCAAAGGTTCAAGAAGAGGTGGTTGAAGGAGTTGTTGTAAAGCACTACAACTAAACGGGCTTCCGTCCATGGGGTTCGGGAAAAGCCGATCCTCTGCGAAATGCCGACCTGTCGCCTCTATGCTCCCCCAATTTCAAGCTACACCTAAGCTAAAGAATATCATGCGGACAGTATAATTCACGTTTTGAGTCTATTTTGTGTGAACTTCACGACCTTGAGATGATAACAACGCTATAGCGGCAAGGTCAGGGTTATCTAGTATCGCTGCCGTCAGGCGCTTTGTCTACCTTATCACTTGACCACCATCATCCGGGATCCCTCTATCATACTCGTCCCGTGCGGAGCAAATGACAATCTATTCCAACCCCATCATCGACTTTCGTCACATTGAGGTCCCGAAAATCTATAAAGACCGTTTGTCCACATGAGCGACATTCTCGATGCCATCCTCCATCACCAAATCGGAAAAGCGAAGCTCAGAAGCCTCTGACACTGAGTACAGAGACACGGATGACTATACTCAGGAGGAGCTCTTGGAGTATCAAATAGATCCAGCAGAGAGGAAGCGGTTGTTGAGAAAG